ACTGGTAAGAGAAAACAATAAAATGTTCCATTTACTCGTAGTTCTTCACAGGAGAACAAACAGAAAAATATTAACTGGTTACATGAACGGATATTAACTGGTTAACTAGCTTGACTACATGGCTCAGTCTAAAAGGGGGTAGGAAAAGAACTCTTAAATAGGGAGGTGTGGCTCTTCAAAATTCTGAGGCAGAGAGGAAATAATCGCCTGGTAGTGGATTAATTGACATTCACCCCAGTTCAGAAAAGACCCTTCTAGCCAAAGCTTCTTAAAGGCATCATACATAGGTTGCAATATTTCCAACAGTCTATTCCTTACACTGCTGTGTTTTCAATTGTGTTAGAAGAGAGGAAGTCTCATCAGTTGGAACTTTAGACTGAGTGGCTGGAGTCCAGTTGGTGATTTATTTATTTATTCTATTTGTATGCTGCCCCATTAGCGCAAATATTTCTTTGGGCAGTTTACTAGATTAAAACAAGACTCCCAAAACCCCACAATAACAAAAAATAGTACATTCAAAAACAATATGGAAACACACAAACAGTAATTAAATCATAAATGACCCCATAAAAGCTAGAATTAGTTAAAAAAACATGACAACAACTAGGAGAATCAGTTATTTATACTTGTGTAAGTGAAGTCAGTTAAACTGCCACTAATTAATGAAGTACTGGTTGCATTCCTGAGCATGGATCCAATAGTGTGACTTGGTGGATGCCCAGGAACTCAACTAGCATCTCGTTAATTAGTGATAATTTGGTATGATGACTTAAACAATTCCACTTACACAAGCATAAATCACCAACTGGATTCTGGGCCCTCCTCCGATGGAGTAATTCGGAGAGTTATAATGCAAGAAAAGCCATTCCCCTAGCTAGAATGCTAAAGGGCAAACAAACCTGCTTTAATACTGAGGGTATAGCCTAAAAGAGTCAGAAATTGGGAGTTGGGTTGAATTGTGTTGTTTGTGTTCTTGGATTTCTTATTCATCCCAAAGCATTTCAGAAATGTTAAGTATCCTAGGATCTCTGTTTTGGAGGATGTGGAAAAGCGCTCTCCAGCTGAGGATCTGTTCCGGCTGTATGCGTTCTATTGCTGTGCTGTAGAGTAAAACCAGACACTTCAATTCTGGAATTCTCTGCCTGGAATTGGATATAGCCAAAATATCTTCAGTCAGGTGGTCTTTTTGGCTGAGGCTGGCTGACTGGATCTGAAGTTTGATATTACTATTATTCAGTTATACTTTAAAATATGTGGCATGCACATGGGTTGAGAGGAAGGCACTAGCTCTGCCCCCATCATCGCTTTAATCACAGAAATGAGACTGGGCGAAGCAGGAGGGCTTGCCTGCCCCCCCTTCTTCAGACAGTTGTGTTTCCATGATCAAAGAAATGATGCACTTCTCTTAGTGCATGTGGGCTCTGCATGTTCAAGCACAAGCGACAAAGGCTGGTGTGCAAGCGTGTGCGAGCAGAATGCAAACCGAAAAGAACTCCCTCCCTTATGGGATAAAATACAATTTACTGTGCTCCATATTAGAATAAGACAAAAGGGGGGAGATACACAGCATGCACTATCAAACACTTAAGAAACAGAGTGCTTTAAATTGTATCAACCTGGCATATTTTCGATATGCTTCTTTTTTTAAAGGACACACTACAAAGAAATGCAGAAAACTATTTTTAAAACACTTAACACTGGGCCTCATGATACTCATGGCTGTATCGTGTATAGGTCACCATACATTTTGCATGCAGAAACACAGGTATAAAACTTTATTATTAAAGTTGTTACCTTTTCTACTAAATCAGAGCAGTTTAACAATTCATATGTCAAAGTGTTTTTTTTTAAAAGCAAATGGCACATACTAATCTCATAAGAAACCTTTTTCTAGGAATAGCCAGAATTTGCCTTATACCCTTCTTATCCTTTTTTCTTACACTACTGAATGAGAATTAGTTAATCATTATGTAGAAACACCAGTCCTTTACAGATTTGAAAACACTGTTTCCCAATCAACCCTTTGCCCAGCACCATTTTGCCTACTTCGTTAATAAACTGTATGATGGGTCAAATGTAAATGAAGAATAGTTTGAGAATAGTAATGCAAGACTGAGTCTTTCAAGATCTGAGTCCTTTCATCAGAGACTTATTCATAAAGTAGTGATGACTTTATGTAAAGGAATTACTAAAGAGCAAGGAATGACGTTCCTATTTAATCATTAGCTAATTGTCTTTCACTAGTATACAAAAAAAGGGAATAGATTTCAACAGATGGGAAACCCTGACATCTGAGCGTTCAGCCTGGAGGCAGGCACTGCATCGCGCCCTCTCCCAATTTGAAGAGACCCTTGTCCAGCAGGCCGAGGCAAAGAGGAAGTCACAAAAGAAGCAAAACCAGGGAGCTGGACAGGGGACAGATTGGATTTGTCTTCAGTGTGGAAGGGATTGTCACTCTCGAATTGGCCTCCTCAGCCACACTAGACGCTGTTCCAAGTCCTCCATACAGAGCACGTTACCATCGTCTTTCGAGACTGAAGGATGCCTAACTAACTAACAAAAAAGGGAAGAAATTAAGCAGGGAATCAGTATTCCCAGAAGACTTTTCATTTATCTGATGATTTGCTTGTTCTGAAATCCTATTGGATATTTACATGTATGCAAGAGGAATTACTGAAGTCGCCGCCACTCATTAATGAAGTGCCATTCACATTATATACCAATTGCACACCCAGCACCTTGGCAATTAGCTACTTCTCACTGTTTCTCTTTTGCCTGTGTAAATAGCCAATAGGATTTGGTCCATTTTGATAGTATTGGTAAGATAAAAGCATTGGGGATCATCATGATTAAAGTTTTAACATTGAGTTTAATACATGAAGTTGTTTGCCATTATTTAAATGGCAGACCTTTCTCTTCTTGTGACAATAAGATTATAAAATTATGAAACAGGATTAAAAAGAATAGATTATGGGCTGAAAATTAAATCATTTTTAAACTACTCCCTTTATTTGTCTGTAGTATGTCCTTTAAAAATGGAGGTATCTCCAGAATAGACCAGGGCAGTAAAATAAGGGACTCATTGAAATCTGGCCTTCCTATTCTTGTTTGTAATAGTACAGAATATAGCTCGAAGAACCCCACAGCTAGAATAGCACTGAGGAATACCCCTTTGCCCAGCTTTCTTGTCATAATTGTGTTCTCAAGATGTAAATCCATGGATTTACAAACAGAAGTTTTTTTTAATTTTTTTTTCATAATCCAGTCTCCAGGACTAGATGATGTACTAGCAAATATCTATGAGCGCTAGTCCAAGAAAACGTTGGTTTTGATGTGTTGAACAGATATCTCTAGGATTTTATATTCCATTCAACTCTTATATAATGTCTTGAAGCCTCAATAATGTCTTGAAGCCTCAATTTGTAATTGTCTTGAAATTAGAAAATGAAGCAGTAACCATCAAACTAAGTTGTGTTTTGTTGTTTTTTCTAGGAACACACAGCATAAGGACTAATTAAATCTACCTCTGCTGGCGATTACTAAGACTATTTGCATTCCTTCTCTATTCATTGACTCCCTTTTTTCTAGAAACTCTAATGTGGTTGTAATCCACAATTTCTAACATTGCGTCCCAGTAGCACTGTGTGGCTGTTCACCCAAAAGGCATTTCTAAACAACTTTAATCTAGGTGGATCGTCTCAGAAAATAGGCAGCACAATGGAATGGGTCTAAAACAGTCAAAACAAGGAAATTAAATTTTAAAAGAAACATTAAAATTAACAACTGGACAGCTAAGAAATCTCAACTCAACTAATGAGTGAATTTCTAAACACCTCCTTCAATTTTTGGCTTGAATCTGAAACTTAAATTCAGAGGCCAAATTGTTTTTCAAAGATTATCATAATCAGAGTTAGCCTTGCGTATTTTCATAAGCAGTGGGAGGATTTCTATGACATGTCAGGTTTTTTTTGTTCAGCCTATGTTTGAGCTTATGGGTGGATTGGAACATGTTTATAAGTGATCTGGTGAGAAAGGCCAGATTACTCCTGAACATGTTTGAACTTGCTTGTGGTTTCAAATGTAGGTTGCAGAGAAAATGAGAAATGTCACAGAAATCCTCCCCCTAGTTATAAGGACTTGTCCTGGTAATTTAGAATCACATTTGCTCATGGACTTTCAGAAGTATTTTACATTATTTTGAAAGAGCTACCTTTCCACACACCCTTTAATTATTTTAACACTCCATACACACAAAAAGTTCACAGCTATCTGCTCAAACCTACTGGATTTGACAAAAGTACTATCTGCATCTTGCTTAAGCTGAAAAGCATAATTAAGGCTTTCCAGTAATTTAAACAATAACTTCTCATTAACCAACAAATGATTTAGTGCTGTATTCGTCACTGTTCTGTGTTAGAGTTGAGCCATGCATAGTTTGACCCTAGCTTTCTCTGGACTGAAGCCATTTTCATGTGGATGGTGCAACTTTAATACTCACTTTTCTAGCACATAGAATTAAAACTTGCACTCTTTCTCTTTGAAAGCTAAGATTGGTTCACCTGAACCATGATCCTGGTATTGTCAGCTTCTCATCAGAATAAAGAATTAGCTAAACTGGGTACTTCGAAACAAGAGAAGTAACTGGAATGCCAAACCTGGTTATCTCCGGACTGAGGCTTAAGCAAAAATAAAATGATAAAATGGAGTATACCATTTTAGGTTACAGGTTAGGGGGCGCCACATAAAATAACAACAACATGCTACTTGCAAATGGAACACAAGCACAACTGTGACTAGTGATCCAGTGATCCCTTTTTTAGCTGAGTTTTGTCCATGGCCTCATGCTTTGATTTACTCTCGTCCTTTGGTTATTTTTCTGCCTAATTATAGAGTCAAGTTTTAATTAAGGGACTGTGGGGAAACCACTGTAAGTAGCTTTAGAATTTAATTGTCTTTGATGCCATGTGTAACTGATGGGGTGTGCCATTTTGGTTTTCTAGGATGGCTCGTAGAGTTTCTACTGTCGGCGTGCTCCTTCTGTTTGGACTCCTGCTACCCACGGTAGAAGGCAAGAGGAATCGTGGATCGCAAGGTGCCATCCCTCCTCCCGACAAAGAACAGCCCAATGATTCAGAACAGACGCAGGCGCAGCCAGGCTCCAGAACCCGTGGGAAGGAAAAAATCAAAGCTCCTCCTACTGAAGAAGTCCTGGGGTCGAGCCAAGAGGCACTCCTTGTCACTGAGCGAAGGTATCTGAAACGGGACTGGTGTAAAACACAGCCGCTCAAGCAAACCATTCACGAAGATGGTTGTAACAGCCTGACCATTATCAACAGGTTCTGTTACGGCCAGTGCAATTCCTTCTACATCCCAAGGCATGTTCACAGAGAGGAAGGGGCCTTCCAGTCCTGTTCCTTCTGCAAACCTAAGAAATTCACCACTATGTTTGTGACACTGAACTGCCCAGAGCTTCAGCCGCCAAGGAAAAAAAAGCGGATCACACGAGTGAAGGAATGCCGCTGCATATCCATAGAATTGGACTAGGTGGTGCTGTGGGGGATAAACAGCTGTCAGTTGTCTTTGCCATCTTGATTACATACAGAAGCTTGCTTTTATATTTCTGAGTTGGATAGAGATCAAAGAGAATCACAGCAAACAATGCATGCTCTCTTTGTGGAAGTGTGAAGTTAAGAAATCATGGATATCGAGTCACACTACCATTTGTGGTACAAATAGTCACTTTTATATCTAACAAAAAAAGATGGGGAAAAGGTGTGTGGTCCTTGTACACAATCCACAGGCACGGTTGGGTGATAACTTTATTAAACTTCTTTTATGTCACGACATGCATAAGCAAGCTTTCAACTGTGTTCAGGTTTTCACCAGGCAAGGGCACTACAAAGCTGTGGATGAAGCAGAATAAGCATAGACGTTCTTAAGGTGTGCTTGCTAGTTCCCTTTGCTAAAAGTAATTTTCAAAATGGGAGCTGCAGATTCATCAGAAGTGTAGGCTTCAGATTCTACCTCTTGTGGTATTGACTGAAACGGGGAACAAAATGCTGAATCACTGGTGGCCGTTCGTCTTACAATGAATGGGAGCAGCGTTCTGAGCAATACCAGGACAGGTGGAAGATGAAACCTGTACCTCTGATTTGAGTTTGCTGCTACCCATTCTGAAACTGTTACCAAGAATCTGGCATGCACATCTGGCCGCAATTTTTGGTTCTTCTGCATAATCCACAGCTCTGTAGCGCCCAGCCTGATGAAGCCCTGTAAAGGGGTCAAAAGGTAGTTTATGCATGTAATTCTTTTTTTGGGGGGTCTAATAAAGGCCTCACTCTTGATTTTGACTTTTTATATCTGCAGCCATCTTTCTACCTAGGTTCAGTATCTCACAAACTCACTTGAGTGCCAGGCTTCCTCCATTGTGATGCCCATCTTTCACCAAAAGCCATGCCATTGTTATCTATAACAGTTATAGGTTGAAAGTTATAGTGGTGCCTTAACTTATGAGCTTAACCCATTCCGGAATGGTGTTTGTAAGTAAAAATGTTCGTAAGTCAAATCAGCATTTCCCATAGGAATGCACTGAAACCCGATTAATTCATTCTGGCTGTTTTTTGTCAGATGGCCTTGTCGCCATCTACTGTTAGCTATTTGAATTTCCCACCATTTTCCCTTTCATTTTTGTCTTCGTAAGTCAAAGCTCTGTTCGCAAGTCAAAGCAAAATTATGTGAACAGAGCTGTTCATAACTCAAAATGTTTGTAGGTCAAGGCTTTTGTAAGTCAAGGCACCACTGTACTTTCTAGAGGATGTGTTAAAGGGTTACAGTGGTAGACTGTTACAGAAACACTTCTTGCACGTATTACTGAATAAATAATAAATGGTTTAATTGTGACTTTAAGGAAACGTGAATAAAATCAACTTATTTGGATGGAAAACAGAGTTTAGGCATAAAGAAAGGGATTTATTTTTATTTGTTTAAAAAGATAATAGGCAAGTGGAAAAGAGGGAAGTCTAGAAAATAGATTTGAAGAAAGTAATCTGCCAAGTTATTCTACTGATACATTGAATGTATTTTAAAAGACATTTCTGAAGCACTAACATCTGTCCTTGGATGCAGTACTTTTTGAACTAAACTCTAGTTCTTAATTCACCATTACACATTTTATGGTGACTATGTCCCATATCTACATATATTTGTCTATATCTGAGAATGTATATTTGCATATACCACCTTTTTATTTCCATACACCAGTTTACACTACTCAAGTAATCCAGATAACAAAGAAAACACAGTCATCCGTGACACCAGTATGCATGCAGACATCAACTGACATGGATTTTTCCAACAATCATTCACTTCCTCAGCTCTCTTTCACTGTTAAAAGATTTGCAGTGTTGTGATGATGGACATTTTTGAGGGTGCAAATGGCTATAGAGTGTTTAAACAACCCCCCTCAGATATTAAGAAATCCCTCATCTGTGCTGATGCACCACACCTTAACGTTAATGAATTAAGGGCCCATGTCCACGAAGAACATGTATTCTTTTAAATGTTGTCAGACTGTTAACTTGCATCAGCTTCAGCCCAAGTGTTGCCAATTTTTGGTGCCTAAATATTGTTCCAATATTAATTCCAGAAACCCCGGCCAGCATGGCATTCTCAGAGTTCTGGTACAGCAGCTGGCGACATCTCTCCAGCTGCTCTAGTCAATGCATCCAATGTTGAGGAATGTCAGGAGTTGCAGTCCAGCATCATCTGGAGACTCCTTGGCTATATCATGTAGTCTAGGTTCTTCTTAAAACTGAATCCATGGCCTCTTCATTGTGTGGTCTTGACCCACTCATGACTTTAGGAAATATGTGAAGGTAGAGGGTTGTAAAATCTTTCAAAATGGTCAGTACAGGAACAATCCATGTTAGAATTGTACTTCATTTACTTGGAACTTCTTAGGAGACCCAGTTGGCTTCCAGGAGGACATTTATAGAATCCATCTTGTACTCTAGTGCTGTTCTGGCTTACTGTTTTGTATCTGTAGAAAGATACCAGCGCCTATGGTCTGGAACAGTGTCTCAAGTATTATGGCATATTCTGTCAAGAGGTTAAACACAGTACATATTTTAGGTTGTGTAAATGTCAGGAAGTTTGCTTTTGACGGAAAACAGGAGATGTAGGTCAGTAACACATGGAAGCCTACGTATGTTCCACTGGCACAGAACTAGGATGGACAAAGTAGGAACCTCCAAATGTGGTTGGACTTCAGATCCCATTAGCCTTGGCCTGCATAGCTAGAAAGGAATGGGTACAGTTTCAGTCCAATAACATCAAAAGTTGCTCTGTGTCTATCCTTGGTGTAGATGATAAGTATTTAGTGGCTGAGATCCTGCTGGGGTAGGTTTATGCTGCACAACTCAGGTGACGTTATCATCTGGCAATGGAAGTCTTTAACTTCTCCTTTGCCCCATTCCCTTTAGGTTCCTAGGCTCCATGGGGATCCCTTTTGCCCTTGAGAAGGCTTTCATATTGGAAAATCATCACCAGCCATCCTGCTGCCAATGATCTGATGGCAATTTTCTGATATGGAGATCTCCATACATCTCAAAGGCTCCCCAAGAGCAAAGGGAATATCTCGGGAGTCTCGGCACTGGAAGAAGGAGGGAATAAAAAGTTTTAAATTAAAGATTTCCATTGCCAGATGATGACATCAACCAAGTTACACGGCATAAATGTCTGTCAACTAGATTTTCAGCCAATGACTTGTTGATGGGATAACTGTTTTCTGTGTGTAATATCTGAACTAATCAGAGCTTATTCACATGTAAAAGAGTATTGGCTTAATTTATTTCACAAGCTGTTCTCATTCTGAGTGATTTAAGATATCATGGGAATGTACTGTTCATATCTCTCTTGTTTTCTACATCTCTCTTTTGCCATCAGTGCTACTACAATTGGATAGCCAACTGCTTACCCTCTTGTTGGTTGTGTGGTTCCAGCCAGACTTTTGCAAAAAACTGAGACCTGTATTATTACATGTCAACTCTCTGCTGAAATTATTATAGTGTTGAAGCCCTCCAACAACTGCCTGTGTGTTCATGAGTGATTGTACCAAGAGATGATCTTTCAGTATACTGTAGAATGCTACTGGCTCATTTTACATGGAATTTGTAGCTATGACATCTTTCTACTCTAAACCACATCCCCAAATACTTTTGTCTGTACTGAGACTTGAAGACACTACCAAAGAACATGTTAGTTTAATAATAACAGATCTCTTGAGAGCACTTCTGTTTGAAAACCACAATTCTCAGACAGTAATATCTTGCAGCTATGGCCTATGAACTACATACCAGTAAGGGGTGGATTGTTCTATCTAAATCAAAAGCTTCATCGAAACTGTTAACTGGGACCCAGGCAAGTATTATGATGGATATCCAAGTACTTACCAGCATGAACTGGATAATAAAGGATATGCAAATCTAACTTGAGGAATTGCTGAATATATTTACTACACTTTCTTCGACACCATTACTTACAGGGGTACTGGAAAGCATATTTGTCAATTCATATTATCAAGGTCATTCATTTAGCTGGGTGTTCTCAGATTTCATTTTTTAAAAGGACTAGTTTCTGGGTCACAGGACATAATTTCCACTCTATGGAATATGAATAGCTAAGCAGAAAGATATTTAATGGCATTGTAATTTTAATAGGGTCTGAATGGTTTCCTCTAATTATTTCTGAGCAGGTACTTAGGCTAAAACACTCCCCCTTTTTTTTGAACTGTTGGGAACTTTAAGATATTTCTTGGTTCTGGGTACACAACACACAAGGCAATTTAACCTTTCATACAGACCATTTTTAAAGGAATTATAAAGGATTTATAAGGAATTAGGAATATGGGGGATTTGGTTAGATATGCAGCAGCAAAAACCAATTATACTTTTTCACAATATCCTCTTATTAATGATTTTCTTAAACATAAAAACAAAAAAATCAGCTGTACAAAGAATTTCAAATCAAACCATATTTTTAAACCCTACTTTTTATGTAGAAAAGGGAGAACCAGATGTGTTGCGTTTTCTGTTGACTTTCACAGATCAAAAATTGTTTTCATAAAAATTATAAATACTTTGCTATGTTACTTTCAACAGTTTGTATGCCTATATGAGAACAGCAAATGAGTTTTAAAAATTCCATCTATTTCTGATTCTCTCATCCTTGGCATGGGTGGCCTATATAGTTTTAAACGAGGAAATGGTAATGATAATTAAGCCTAATTTGGAATGAATAAATATAGGAGGGAAAACTGGTCCTTGGCTCATTTATCCTAGCTCGCTCCCACAAGACAGACTAACACAAATGCATCCAAAACAGCTGCAGACAAGGCGCTGGAAAAGTTATACAGTAGCCTGTTAGCATAATTTGTGTCCACAAGACATATCACTTTTAGATTGTGTCCATTATAGTGTGTCCATTAAAATAATAAATACATTTATAGTTGGTAGGGGCAGGTGCCATGTGGACAGGGAACTTTAGCCATTCACTTGCTTCAGGCCACCCTTTCCACAGTTTCTTGCCATTCTCAGGCTGGCTGGGGCTTCTGGGAGCTGAAGTTTTGCCCTTCAGACATGTTCTAAAAATCACTAAAGGAACTACTGCTTAGAAAGGAATTAGTGCAGATATGGGAAAATCATTATCAAGAGAGCTTGGAATAAACCCCCTGGATGTTTTCCTCACCTCTTCTTTGATGCATGTTTTTGGTAAACGAATATGTTCCTTGTAGTCTCAGAACTGGTCTACCAAACTGGTACTGGAAGGAAATGT